TTTACACTAATCAGAACAACTTCACATGAATAATTCCACCATCAATACTGATGGAATGCTGATTTTTTTTTTAAAAAGTGAACTCTTATAAACTTCTAATTATCAGGAACTCAATCAAAATTAGATTCCCTCATGAATCACGGATGATGGATATTTTTAAAATTTTTATTGTTTGTATAATTCACCTAAATGCTGTTCTACCAATATTAATCTCATCAAAGCCCAAAAATATCGAGTAGAAGGAAGACTCTGAAATAATCTTCCTTGGCAATTTCTTTACGCTGTATCATACACCGTCATGTAAAATACAGAAATGGTGGGAAATAAATCTGCCTCCGCAATTGCTATTCCATAGGTACCAAAGACACTTATTAAGAACAGAATACATCTCCCCTATGATGTCTCAGGGAACATAAAGTACAAAGCAGCTACAGAATTAATTTCCTTCTGTAAGGCAGTAGTAAATACTTTTAGACAAATGCAGCTCTGTATAAAATACAGAGAAACTTTGAGAAACTTTAGTTTAGTCAAGGCTGATTATGTGTGAAATTGAGAATCAAGTAAGTTGTGTATCATAGAGGCGTAGACTCATACAGGACGGAAGCAGACCCTCCAGCCCAACACGTCCATGCCGATAGTGGTTATTAAACTGAAATTGTCCCATTTGCCTCGTGCTGTCTGGTCCATATTTCTTTATATCTTTCCTGTCTATGTACCTTACTAAATATCGGAACTGAAATATATTGAATTACACTTAAATATACATTTTAGTAACATAGTTAAACGTTCTTCCTGTGTCGCTTTCTATTCTACTGTCCACTACCTTTTTGTCTTCTCAATCGCCTGGCAGAGTGATTTTCTGTACAGTTTCATCCTCTCTTTGATTCACTGCGTTCTAAGTCACCACGGTACCTGATAGCTGCACACTGTTAAAAATAAGACTGGAGGAGCCTTTCTCAGCTTCCACAACGAATGCAAATTCCGACAACTCTTTCATCCCTGAGTGTGCAGATGCGGTATTTGGGAATTTATTAGCAGAAATGTCTGCAGCAGGATACAACGTCGTTGGAGGCAGACATTGCTTTGTCTTGAAGGAAAGTAGTGTGTTCAACATTTCCCTGATGAGCTGATGTAGGAAATGTCTCCGGATGAGAAGAAATAGCTGCAAAAGACGATCAAATCCGAACAAATTCAACATAAAACAGAAATAAATAAATAAAGTTCCTCTCACACAGGTGGTATAAACGTTATCTATCTATCTATCTATCTATCTATTCTATTCTATTCCATCCATAAAAGGCATAATTTACTTTTAATGTTGCACAGACAAGAAGTCTGATTTAGTATGATTCTTTACAACTTATCATAAGCATTAGTTTTTGAAAACTAATCCTTTTCGAAGTTTAAGCATTGAAAGTAAGATTTTTGAAATCACTGGTGTTTGTAAAATTCTCTTTTTTTTTGGAAAGTTTGACAGAAGGCAAACAGACACCACAATGCAAGATATTGTGTGGACAGATCAATGTGCTTGCAACTCACAGCAACATACTCCAGCGTCATTGACCACGTTGACGTCTCTAGAAATGGCTTTGGACTTCTTTGTTCTGTCAAAGGAAAGTATGTAGCGTCCAATAGTATTATTCCCCCTGTATATGTAACCGTTAAATGTTGGAGCCCGTGTTATTGTTTGTCTGTACTAGGCTGTATTATCACAAGCACGAATACAGAGCTAACAGTCCAAATCAACTAACTCCCTTTCCAGAGAAAGCACTTGATCAGCCTGTGAGATGTCATCCTTACACTCAAATGATGTTACAAAAGAAGTAGAACTCAAACACAACGTTGTACTGAGGGTTGGTAAAACAAGCCGTCTGATTAGAAAGCTAAACTTACAGAATACCAAGAACATTAGAAAACAGGTCATTGCAGGTTTTCCTGTTCATGAAGATGAAGATGCACAGGAGGCGGATCAATCAGGTACTGGTTTTCAGATTAAGATTCTCTGACGACACAAAGACTCTCAATGATGGCGATGGGGAGAAAATTCAATTCTCCCTGGTACAGACAGAGACTGATGGGCGTAATTCTCAATAATTGGATTGTCGTGGGATGTTGATGCCAGACGTCATACAAAGTCACACAATTCTGTCACTCGTTCTCTCTTGTTCTCAATCTATCCCTGTCTGTCTCTCTGATTGTCTCTCCATCTCCTTCCCTCTCCATCTCTCTCTCTTCCTCTTTTTCTGTCACTGTGTAGCGGCTGATTGGATGCTTCATGAAGACATGATCTCTGTCACTTTTTCAATTATAATAATCTTTGACATTTTGGATTCATTGAATCTAGCTTGTGGTTATTGATTGTAAACAAAACGAAACAGCAGTTATTGTTTCACTTTCAGTCCGTTATCAAAGTTCACACCACGTGCTGACGGTTTTGGTTTATGATTTTATTTGTCCACTTGGTGAACCTCTTTATTCATTCCCAAGATGCAGTTTTGGTCATTAAAAGGATCTGAGCGCCACTGGCTATGCGAGAATTTATTGTGCATCCCTTAAAACCAGGAGGGCAGCTAATAATCCACAATATATCTGTGTTTCGAGAGTCACATGTATTCTTGGTCTGGTGACGACAATAGTTTCCATCCATAAAGGGCATTAGATTTTTGCATTATTTGTCCGGTATTGTTTGGCATGCATTTTAAAGCATGAAAGGATGCCTATTTCAATGAAAGGTAGTTTAATCAGGGAGAGACCGAGATCAGTACAAAGACACAGTGCAAAGGGACACTGAGAAAGTCAAAGAAGAAAACGAAACGATCAGGGGAAATTAATGTTTATGCTTCTCACCGCTTGGTGCATGGCTGTCATCTGCTTTGATAGAGAATTCAGTCCTGTATTTAGAAACCCTTCAGTCTCTCAGTAAGCAAAGTCTGATCCTGTTCAGACTTCGATATCAGACCAAGAGAGTCAACACATCGAAAAAAATTGGTATTTTCTTTCAAAACATATGCCGGATACCATTTGCTTTTTATGTTCCTCGCCAATAATAGTGCACTTTTAGAATGGCGAGCTGTTTTTGTTTTTTTAATAATGAGTGTGTTTCACAGGGGGTGTTTTTATTCCCTGAACAATGGAACATTTTGTATTTGTGACGCAGGAACGAGTGGCAATGATACAGTGTCACACAATCCAGCTGAATTAACGGTCTGGAAGGGAGAGCACGCAAAACTGCACTGCCGTTACTTGGCAACTTAGGCTGATGGAAGCCTAATCTGGTACATCCATTGCTCCCGGGAAATTCTGAGATACTTACTGAAGATGCAGAGGGTATGAGTATGAGCCTCCAGAATTGCAAAACAGATTCCCTTTTAACTTGCACAAAAAAATGGTTATTTTAAGCATCTTCATGCTCTTAAACTGAACACGCCACATATTTCTGTGCACTGAACTCCTCACACTGATGCAGAAATACAGCAGACAAAGTACCAATATCTACCTTGTGAATTCCAGGAGTGTACACCAGATGGTGATCCCACACCGATGAACTGAAGCAACAACTCCGCGTCCGCAGTGCAAGTCATTTGTGTCAAACGTGAAATGAACGATAGCCTGGGTTGGTCATCTGGCCATAATCATGCAAAGTCATATGTTTTAAGAATATTTCGATTGTATTAAGCAGAAGAAGTGGAGCATTATGTGAGGAGACAAATTCAATTTTATTGCACTTTCTGTATTTTGCAAGATTAAATGGTTTGTGTTGCAGTTTTACAAGCGTTATGAATGAATTATATTTTTGGGGAAAGGAACAACATCACATTAAGCCATTCACATATTGAAGGATTGGCTTATGGTAATAAAATTTATAAAGGAGAAGCCAATGGAAGATGTGGAAGATGGAACATGCATCTCAACGTGGAATTGCAAGACACATTTTGGGATGTAATTTCTGAAGCCATTTCTTACGTTGACTGTCGTGGTCAATGAAATTGGGAGGCAAAACAGGTCCAAACCACATGGATGTTTTCAGCCCACAGTGTCTTGTAATCCGTCTGAAAGGATGTTCATCATATTCAGCTGAGGGGCAACGCTTGACCTAATTCTGGATAATGAAGTTAGTCAAGTGATTGTTTTGTCAATGTGCGAGCAATTTGGGAAAATGACTATAACTCTGCAAGTTTTAAAATCATTATAGAAACGGATAAGGATAGGGCAGAAGTTAAATATCTAAATCGGACTGAAACCAAGTTCAGTATCATTACAGAGATAGTAGGAACTGCCGATGCTGGAGAATCTGAGATAACACGGTGTAGAGCTGGATGAACACAGCAGGCCAAGCAGCATCAGAGGAGCAGGAAAGCTGACGTTTCGGGTCGAGACCCTTCTTCAGAAATGGGGGAGGGGAAGGGGATTCTGAAATAAATAGGGAGAGAGGGGGAGGCGGATAGAGGGGGAGACGGATAGAAGATGGATAAAGGAGAAGATAGGTGGAGAGGAGACAGACAAGTCACAGAGGCGGGGTTGGAGCCAGTGAAGGTGAATGTAGGTGGGGAGTTAGGGAGGGGATAGGTCAGTCCAGGGAGGACGGACAGGTCAAGGAGGCGGGATGAGGTTAGTGGGTAGGAGATGTCTCCCTAACCATTCCACAGCTAGTCTCCGCCTCCCTAACCATTCCATGTCGACTTCACAAGCTTAAAAATCTCCCCTCCCCCGACTGCATCCCAAAACCAGCCCAGCTAGTCCCCGCCTCCCTAACCATTCTTCCCACCTCAAGCACCACCCCCATCTCCTACCAACGAACCTCATCCCGCCTCCTTGACCTGTCCGTTCTCCCTGAAGAATTAAAATACCAGGGCATAGTAGGCTACTGACTAGTTGCAGGCAAATGGGATTATTCTAGGTTGGTGTCTGTTGGTTGGTACAGACATGATGGCTGGTAGATGGATGGCTGGTATTGATGCTGCACTCTCTGTTCTCTCTCACTGCAAATCTTGAAAGCGAAGATGATGGATTATCAAATGTATGCTGGCAGGTACAAAGGAGGGCAGATCCAAGGAGCTAGAACATAAACAACATTTTAAATGTAAACCACAGTCAGGGACGGCGCTTGAATCGTCGTTTAAGCTGCAAAAATAGTATCGTCTTTTTAATTGTTTACTAAATAACAGGCAGATACCAACCTTGCACTGGGACAGCTGTAAAGATTGTTTCAAACAAAAACAGAATAATTTGAATTAAACAGATCCGAGGTCAGATTACGGGAGTCACTATGACCAGTACATGGGCGATTAGAAGAGTGGAATTTCACAGAAACTATGGGGCCTAAATAAGCCAAATCCAACATAAAACTCTGAGCTTCAGGGCTAAACTATGACCTACAAGTTCATGTCCAAGCTACAAAAAAGTCCTGCCTTGGAACGATATGAACATCCTTCAGTTTCTCTGGAATGCTAGATCTCCTTCACACCACCCCACACCCACTGCTCCAAAAAAGCAAAATTCCGGGTGTCCCAACACCACATGGACTGTACGGCCTCAGGAGAGCTGATCACCACCACCACCTCTCGGAATTTAGAGAAGGGCAATAAATAGTGAACAAACCAACGATATTCATGTCACATCAAGTGATAAATTTAAACACCAGACATGGATTTTAACCCAGCTCCACATCTGTAAAGTGGAATATTCCCTCCAATGTGTCGTTGGAGTTTGCCTATTTTAAAATGCTTCCATTCAATCGGAATTAACACCACCATACCCACCGCCCCCACCCCCAACCCCGACCCCGTCATTCTTCTCATTGCATGCGAGGGCACAAAACAAAAAGATGAGACATCAAAGAACACTATTCAAGGGAGGGATAAGAACTAGAGTCTTCAAATATCAAACTCTTTTAGCATATACCGAGCAGAACAGTGTAGTTGCTTGGGGCTGGTGTTGTGTGGAGAGCATTTCTGGTAGGGAATTGCGACTCAATATATTCCATCTTTCTCTCATTTACCGACCATGGCTTGAAACTGAATTTGAAATGTCCACAGCTCTGATGTTTTCCTTCTTGAACATGGTTTTCAGATCTCAGTCATGGAAGTTCTATCACTCAGCTGCTGTCCTGAGATGTTTGAGTCATGGAGGTCATGACGTTATGGTCTGACTCAACCAATCCTTAAGACAGTGAGTTCCATATTCTAAAGCGAAAGCAGTATTGCGTTTTATTTTTGGATCGTTATTCTGACTCAAATGAAGCAGCGCAGTGTCATCAAAGTTTTAAAAGCGACTACCCCTGAATATTGGGTTCATCATTATAATTACTCTTTTTATGTTTTGAGTTCCTTTCTCCTTCTTGCAAAATATGGCGTAAATCGGTTCACAATAACTCAAGTGTAATGCAACCAGAGTTTAATAGTTATTGAAAAAAATACTGATTTGCCTCACGCTTATTAACAGAGAACTCGAACGCTTCCCTTAAGTGTTAAATTTCTTACCGGCAATGAACGTCACCGAGATTAGCGTGAAAATGGAGAACTGCTTCACTGTTGATCTGGTTCCTGGGGATTTGTTTGTATCACATAAATCTGAAAAGTAGCGAATAAGAGAGAGAAAAAAATAACAGATCATTCGCTGAGAATGGTCTGATATCACTTCCTTCACAGCAAGTAGCTACAAACATTGCATACGATTTGTTCAGCGTCATTAATGCCCCGGTTTTTCTGACATTAACCTCACATTCTACTGATCAGTGAAAAACCAGGTAAATACAGACAGCCTGCCCTGTAATAAATCTGACGTCTGCTCTTTCATCTGAAATATTCAACTCAAAGAGATACAGGGGCAATGTAGATGAAGATCTTTTGTTTATTTTCTTCACAGTCACAAATCAGAATGAATTTGTTGATGCGTTTGGCTTTGATAAACTTGCCACTAGAGATAGACCAGGTGACTTTTGTCGCATTGTGCAGAGAGACACGGCTATGTAATGGATGGCATTTGTGAAGCTGAGAGAGCATTTGTGAACCAGCATGTGTAGTGGAGATTGTCCACTTGGAATGTATCGGGTTTTTTTTTTTGGTGGGAGCTGGGAATAATTGTCCGGGATTGTTCCTGCAAGCTGAATACATAGCATAGTTGGATGAACATCCTGGTGCAATTGACGTTGAGGGGCTCTATCTTTAGGTTTTGTTTTAAAGATCGGTGTCAGTCCTTTGAAAAATATACTCATTATACATTAGTAGTGGATGAATCACCAACAGAGTCCCATCAAATAGATCCAATGAACAGACCACAGTACTCGGTTGCGGGTAAGTGACAGCAAAGATGTGTAAAGGTTGACAAACATTACACACAGAGAAACTGTTCCAGAAGATAAAAAAAATTTCATCAAGTATGTGTAAAGTTTGCACATTCGCCCTGTGTCAGTGTGGGTATATTTCAGGCGCGTTGGTTTCCTCCTGCAATCTAAAGATGTGCAGGTTAGGTGGATGCATCGCGCTAAATTGCTTCGTGATGTCCAGGATTGTGGAAGCTAAGTTGACAAACCATGTGAAATGCAGGGTTACAGGGGTGGGGTGGGATGCTCTTCGGAGGGGCGGTGTGGTCGTGATGGGCCGAATGACCTGCTTCAGTACGGGAGGGAATCTATGATTTTTGTTCTGTAAATACATTTACAAATGCCGGTTTCAGTGAATACATGAGTTGGAATAAAATAATATTAGCCGTCAGTCATCATCAACTTCCATTGATCATTGTTGTGATTTCTTATGCCCTTTGGGTGGCACGGTAGTTCATTGGCTAACACGCTGCCCCACAGCCCTAGTAACCCAGGTAAAATTCCAGCCTGGGGCGACTGTCTGTGTGGAGTTGGACGACATCACAGTGGGTTTCCTGTGGATGCTCCTGCTTCTTACCACAGTCCAAAATTGGGCAGGTTAGGTGGATTGGCCATTCTGAATTGCCCGGGCATGTAAAGGCTATTTGAATTTGGCTGGGGAAACACAAGGGAAGGGTTCATTTGGGTGGGATGCTCATTTGAGGTTTGGTGAGGACTCGGTGGACTGAATGTCCTATTTTCACACCATCGGGAGCCTATAATTTTTCGCCGAAGGTGTCTGTGGAGGTGAAATTATTGCTTCTTTTTATTGGCGTGAGTGCACCCTCTGCTGGACACTACTGGAACTCTCGGTGTCGGGGAGGGTGTTTTTGGAAATGATCGACGTATCTCTGTATCAATATGCCTTTCATGGCACAGAAGTACACCGTGTTGTTGGACACAGAGGTCACAAAGCTACGTAAAGGAACCGTTTTGTTCTTTTTATTTAAATCAGCAGACAGCCTGTTTGCTATTCCTAAAGGATTCTCTTCAACCCTTCTGACCTACATCTTCAAAAAATATCTTGTATTTTTCCTGGGCTAATTTGTGTACCCGAAAAGAATCAAGAAAAGGACAGCTGTGTGTATTTACACTCGAGTATCACTCTCTGAGATTCTCGAATCGCTAATTCAGGTGAATCCTGTTGCATCGAATTCCGGCCACCCATGCTGTAACACAAATGCGTCATGCTAAATTGCCTCGTGATGTCCAGGATTGTGGAAGCTCAGCTGACAAACCATGGGAAAACACAGAGAGAACGTACAATTCCTGGATGATATATTAACTATTTCACCACAGATTCAACAGACTGGAAGACTGTTAATATGAGGAAAATACACAGGGAAGACATGATGTTAGGTGGGAAGTTTAAGAGAAAAATAAGCCTGAAGGTGTTCCGTATGTTAACCTAGTTCAGGATTAGACTTTGCTAATCGAGAACATGCGCAGAGCTTTTCAGGACCAGGATTTGCTGCTTTATCAGAAACAATGACAGTTATTCTCCGATCAATGACAGTTGCATAAAATTACTTTCACCCATTGTTTCCATTTCTCAGGCATTCGATTCATTTTATCAACCGTTCGTGTCTGTCACTGCCCGCACATCTGTCTGTCACTCCTTCCAGCTTTTCATGACGGTGTGGATGCTGGGAAAAAAACACAAAAAACAACAAAAATAAGTGTTTCAAACTTTTGATCAATAACACCACATCAGGTTGAATTAAAAAAAAAGAGAAGGTGCCTATTTTAAATCTGACATAAAACAGAAATTGCTGGAGAAAATCAATCGGTCTGGCCTCATCTGTGAAAGTAAAGCACAGACAACGTTTAGAGTGCAATGACCCTTCTTCAGAATCAAAGAGGAAACATATTTGATGCAAGTGAAGATTTCAGTGCAAGATCGCCGCAGAGAACCTTTTTGCTACATCTGAAGGTTCCTCTTCAACCCCAGTGACATACATCTTCAGGAAGTATCTCGGATTTTTCCCAGGCTACTTTGTGTCCAGCGCTCCAGCTAGAGCTCCTCTGCTTCGCCAGTTCCTTTTCCTTTATCTTTTTTGTTCTTTTTTCTCCAGTTTTCTCTTCCCTTCGCCCTCACCAACTTCCAACTCCTTAAACTTACCCCAAGGGAATGCAGAATGCAGAAGGCAATCCCGCTATGTGAGTCGACTCGGTGACCATGCCAGCGCGGGAGGCAAATCCCGGAAACGAGAAGAGGGCCAGAGCCCGTCGAGAGGCAGTCTTAGTCCAGGCTGGCTTGGGAGGTGAGCCCTAGAGGTGAGTCGTTAGGCGAAACCTGGCACGGGAGGCGCTCCTAGCACAGACCAGCCTGAGAGACGATCCTGGAGGCGAGTCGAGGGGCCAGCCCAGCGCAGAAGGCAGTCCGAGCCCGGACCCGGGCCAGCATGGAAGACAAGTGCTACAGGCAAGTCCTGCTGGTGAAGTCTCGGGCCGGAGTCCGGCCCGGGAGGGAGTCTGAATCCAGGCCGGCACGGGTGGACATGTCCTGGTGGCGGGTTTCTGGACATAGGCCAGCGCGAGGATGCAGCGAAGCCTCTAGTTATGAAGTCGGGCTAGCATGGACTCAGAGTAAAGGACTGTTATTTGTGTACTTTTTAACGATGCTTTTAATCTTATTCTGGACTTTGAGTAATTCGAGTATTTTTTTAAAAATTTGTATTTCTATGTTGATTTTATTTTGACTCTACCAATTCTGTAACAATTACCTAAGTATCTGTACCTACGTATCATGTACTTAAGATGGCACCAAAGCTGCGATGTCATGAGCTTTTCACTGCACTCATTCGAGTGCACCTGACAATGAAGACCATTCTATTCTATTCTATTTTGTCTCTTTCTACTTCTCTGCTGCAAAGACAGTGACATTTGTGTCATATATGTAAGTTCAAATGCACCTTCCCAAGTGCTGCTCAGGGACATTCTGAAAGAAAGACTAACACTGAGCGACGAATTAGCGAAAGTGAGAAACAATTCTGTTTTCAAGGGGTTGGTGTGGATTTTATGGCCCAGTGAACAACCACTGTTCCTAACATTGGTTGAAGGAGCTTTTTTTGTCTTCCACTGAAATCCTCAAGACAGTGAAGAACTATTTAGATGAGCACTTATACGTCAGAACACACATGGCTACGGGCCAAGTGCTGGAAACTGAGATTAGAAAAGATGGATGTTGATGACTGGCACTTACACGATGGGCTGAAGGGCCTTGTCGGTGCTGTAACACTCGATGACTTGATTGGCCTAGATGAGAAAATAATTCTTATAAAGAAATCAAAAGCTGCGTCACTAAAAAGGGATGCAAGCGAGGATGCTGTCTTCCCTGGTGGCCTAGTGGTTAGGATTCGGCACTTTCACTGCTGCAAGCTAGGTTTCATTTCTGGCCAGGGAAGGGCAATTTGTTATTCTTGTACAAACGTTAAAATGACTAGGAATTATTGATAGTGCCAACAGCAAAACCAGAAGAGCTCTATCGAAATTTTTCTGGGTTTTAAATTAGAGACGAATGCATCATAAGTAGCTGGGGCCAATTCACATTTTTCTGCAAGAAAAACAGGAATTGCTGCAAATACACAACAGATTTGGCGTCATCTGTGAAGATAAACGAGAAACAATAGGTTGGCTTCAGTGATCCTTCTTCAGAACTGGTGGTAGTGAGGAAACAGTTGGTTTTATGCAGAAGCTAGCGAGGGGATTCGGGTGTAAGGAATAAACTATAAGTTGAGATAGATCCAAAAGAAAGTAAAAGACAATTGGAATAACGATCAACCCAGGGGAATGAATGGCTGCAAATGGGAATACTAGTGCGTAACAATGAAAATGGTGGACGTGTTCACAATTACGACAATTAAAAAACATTTTGATACTTACATGAACAAGAGGTTAGGACGGATATGGGTCAGAACCAGGCAGGTGAGACTAGTCTTGTTTGTGATTATGTTTGGCATGGACTGTTTCCGTGCTGCAAGACTCTTTGATTAAATGATAACAAGACCTGATGTGTGGGTTGGAGGAAAGCGTGGTGAAAGAGCTGAAGCCCCAAACTTGTTGAAGTCGATATTTAGTCCAGAAGACTGTACAGTTCTAAAGATCAAACGATGTGCTGTTCTTCCAGCTTGAGCTGAGTATCACTGGAGCACTGAGACAGAGATGTTTGCCGGTGACAAAGTGGTGTGTTGAAGTGGCAGATAACGGCAAGTTCAGGGTCTTTTTTGCGGACATAACGTAGGTGTACTGTGAAAAAAATCTCTCAATGTTCGCTTCATCACCTCAATGTAGAGTACAGTGAATGCAGCAAGCCAGATTAAGTGAAATGCAGGTAAAGTGTTGGTTCACCTGGGAGGTCCATTGGGCCCTGCGGCATTGAGAAATAAGGAAGTAAACGTGCAGAATGAATGGGAAGATGCCGTGGGGCTGTGGTAGGCGACGTGTCTGAAGAGCAAGTGGATTATCGTGTTTCAGATGGAATGGTCCTTGCAGAAAGCTGACAAAAGAGGGGAGCAGAATATGTCCCTGGTGGTGGCATCCCGCTGGATGTGTTGGAAATGGCATGTAATAATCTTCTGGATATGGATGCTTGTGGGATGGTAGGTGTGGATAAGGGGACCCTATTGCTTTTGTCGGAGCGAACAGAGTGAAGGAGAACTGAAGTGCAGGAGATTGGTCGGATTCAACTTCGGGCCCTGTCAACTACAGTGCTAGGAAAACGTCGTTTGAGAAAGAAGGTCGACATTTCGTCGACATTCGTATAGAAATTGCCATCATCAAAACATATGCAGAGAAGACAGAGGAACTGCGAGAATGGAGGAGAATCTTTGCACGAAGCAATGTGTGACAAAGTATAGTCAAGACACCTCTAGGTGTCGATTGGTTTGTTGTGGATATTGGTGGCCAGCACTTCACAAGAAATGGAAGCAAAGATGTCGGGGAACCAAAGGGAGAATAAGAAGTGGGCCGAGTGAAAGCGAGACCGGGTTGGAAATTTGAAGCGAAATTGATAAAGCTTTCCAATTTCGAACAAGGGAGGGAAGCAGCACTGATGACATAATCTATATGCTGGAGGAATAGCAGTGTGAGGGGCTTAATAAGAGTGTAACAAGAAATCGTACCCCACAAAGAGACAGGTGTAACTGAGACCCTTGCCAATACCCATGGCCACACATTTTACCTGAAGAAAGTGAGAGATGTTAAAAGTGAAGTTGTTCAGAGTGAGACTGGCTCAGCCAGGCGGAGGAGAATGATGGCTCATTGGGATGGCGCAGGCTTTTCTCCCAGGAGAAAGCGGAGAACCTCGAAACCGTCCTGATGGGGCTGGATGTATTACAGGGATTGCAAGTCAATGGGAAAAATGAGGTTGTTGGACACTTCAAACTGGAAATTCTGAAATTGACATAAAGCGTCAGAGGAATTGCAGATGTAACCAGGAAGGGAATGCATGAGTGGAGAAAAACGACGAGTTGATGAAGAAAGAGATAAGTTCTGCCGGGCAGGAGCAGGCAAAACAATGGGTCTGCCCGATAGTCTGTTTGTGGACTTTGGTAAGGCAGTAAAAGCGAGTTGTGTTATTTAGGAGACTATGATTTTGGAGGAAGTTGTGGGGAGGTTACCGGATGGAATGAAGTTAAAGACGGTAGCCTGATGTTGCATGATGGTGTCATGATCCAGGAAGAAAAAGGAGGAAGTATCTGAGAGCTGGCATTCGGCCTCTACAATGTAGGGATAAATCTGCAAGAAAGTAACAGCACCACCTTGGTCAACCGGCTTGAATACAAATTCAGGGGACAGGTCGAGTTTAGGTAAATACCCTAAGGCATATTCCTCTGCACCTAAGTATTCAGTTGGTCCTAAATACTGGATGCAGTACTATACACCGCTCCTCACAGAAACACACAAGATCTGAGGAGCCTTGACATATTTGATGTGTAAAATTTGTTTCCTTTTCTGAGATAATCTTAGACAAGAAAGGCATATTCTCAGTATTAGGGTTGCACAATTATGACAGAGATGAGAAGGAATTTCTTCTTTCTCAGACTTGTGAATCTGTAGAGTTCTTTACTGCCGAGTCAATAGAGGCTGGTTCATTAAGTATATACAATGATGTAATAGACAGATTTTTAATCAGTAATGAACTGGAGGGTTCTGGGGAAAGGCAGGAAAATGGAGTTGAGTACTTCTGGATTAGCCATGATAACATTGAATGGTGGAGTAGGCTTGATGGGTTGAATGACTTACGTTTTCTCCCACGTCTTATATTCTCAATATGAAGCTGCATAACTAAACTGCAGAAAGTTAAAAATATCTTTATACCTGCACGCAATTGAACTGCGGTGAGACACGCAGAGGGAAACATATGACAGAGAGTCATTTTGGCTGATGGATTCAGAATGATCTGTGTGCCATGGTAAATAGTGAAAACTGTTAACGGACAGAAAAAAAGACAGGCATTTCAACTGAGCCTTTTATCACATCAGGGCAATGGAAGGAACATTGGAGCAGATTAATCCGTTTAAAATTGCAACGTTGACTGTTGTAATCTAACAAAGGAGTGAGTGTTTGATAAAAATGCTGATTCGAAAAATGAACCTGATATTTTCCTCCAGAAATGTCAAATCGGTTTCTCTCCACAGACACTGCCAGACCTGCCGAGTTTCGCCAGAAATTTCTCGAACATAGAACAGTACAACACATAACAGGCTGTTCGGCCCACGATGTTGTGCCAAACTTTTACCCTAAACCTAAGGTCTATCTAACCTCCACCACTACCTTATACTATCATCCATCTGCCTATCTAATGAGGCCAATTCCACTACCCTCTCCGGCAATGCATTCCACGCCCCTACCACTCTCTGAGTAAAGAACCTACCTCTGACGTCTCCCCGATATCTACCTCCTTTCAATTTAAAACTATGTCCCCTCGTAAAAGCTACCTCCACCCTAGGAAAAAGTCTCTGGCTATCTACTCTATCTATACCTCTGAACATTTTGTACACCTCTATCAAGTCACCTCTCATCCTTCATCGTTCTAAAGAGAAAAGCCCTAGCTCTCTCAACCTTTCCTCGTAAGACCTTCCCTCCATTCCAGGCAACATCCTGGCAAATCTCCTCTGCACCTTTTCTAACGCTTCCACATCTTTCCTGTAATGAGGTGACCAGAACTGGACACAATACTCCAGATGTGGCCGAACCAGGGTTTTGTATAGCTGGAGCATAACTTCACGGCTCTTGAACACAATCCCTCTATTAATGAAAG